TTTGCTAGCCCAGGGTGTGCAAAGAAACGAAAAGTAAGAAAATTGCTGCCAGCCACGTCGGCCATCCATCTCTTGGGCTCAGAGCGCGCGCGCCCGGCACACAATGCAACACCACACACGCAAGTAGTGTCTGAAGTGAAACACAGGAAAAGGAAGCTAGCCGCGAGCCGCGGCTGGTGACTGATATAATATGTGCGAGTTTGTTGTTTGCGCTTTGCGCGCAATATAAACTAAAGCAATTAATCATTGCGAGCGTAATAAACCAGCCGAAACGCGAATGGTGCACGGATAGTTCTTCACAAAGGTGTAATACAACTGATGGAGCGTTTCTATCCACTCAGATAACGAAAATATTAATTTAAAAAAATTTATCTAAAAATAAATCCTGGATTTTGTTTTTAGTTGTGTGTGTATAGATTTGATAAGTATTTTTGTTTATTGCGGAAGCGAAGTAAAATTTTGCACGTACATTGCATGTGTGCGGTAATAAAACGTCGAGTCGATTTGAATTTAGTGGGATTGCGAGCACGCGCCTCAAACGTACACGACAGTTTGCAATAAACTTGTTTTAATAGGATACGTTTTTATTGCGCGAATGGAGTTTACCGCCCCGGCGATTGCATCTAAATTCGCAATGAAATTGTTTTTCGCGTTTCGGATTTAAATAACCGACGCGTGTAAACGCGCACGACACGTTCGAGCCTGGTCAGCTACGCTCCATTTAATATTGATAAATTTTCAAAATTGGTTTTCCCGCAAACGCGCACTGACACATTTTCCTAGATTCGATTAAGTGCTTTTATTTATTTTGCCCACCAACAAAAAATTAATTTGATTTTTCTTAGTTTTTACTGGTTTTTATAAACCGGAAAACCGGAAATTCATGTTCTTAAGTAAATGATTTTATGATGCATCTATTTCTGGAAAAAAATAATTAAAATTTTGATAGATTTTTTCAGTTTTTGGATATTTTTAACTAGTTTTGCACAAAAATCGGTAAAAAATACAAAAACTACTAAAAAATTATTTTGTTTGTCTAGGTTTTGAACAAACTATAAAACCGGAAAACCGGAAAACCAATAGCAATCTACAAAATTACTTTATTCTGCATGTATTCCCGGAAAAAAATTAATCAAAATTTGTTTCGATTGGTTGATTTTTTTAGCTCTAAAATATTTTTTAACTAGTTTTTTGCAAAATTCGGTAAAAACTACAAAAACCACCAAAAATAATTTTCAGCAAACTATGAAACCGGAAAACCGGAAAACTAATATCTATCTACAAAATCATTTAATTCTGCATCTATTTCCGGAAAACAATTAATTAAAACTAGTTTCAATAGGTTTTTATTCTAGACTTAGAATAAAGTATTCTGTTAAAATTAATTTACCGATTTTCTTCTATTTTTAACTGCTTTGGCAAAAAAATCAGCGCAACAAATAAGATTCCGTAAGTTGTAAGTCGTAAGTGTAAGCAATTCGGTAAGCAGTTACTTCCATTCGTCGAGTCGTAGATCTTTCGAGGTTGACTCCACAGTTGTTGTAATTCAGCCGGGGCCAAGGCGCAGTATCACTGCAGTTTGCCATAAATCGAGTCGCGCTTTTACACCCCCAATTCGTTCGGCGCGCAACACACTTAAACTCTCTCAGCCTTATAGAGAAATAGCGAAAACGTAATTCTAGCTCCTTAACTATTCGATATCCTCTTTGCGCGCACGCCGCCAAACTTCCACCAGCAAGTGGCTAGTAATAGGGGCTGGCGAAAAAGTTTGAGTATTTACTGTTTCCCCTTTTTATATTTATGTACGCGACGATACTAGCGACTATATAGAAACAGAGACTTAGAAAAGACTCGCCGTTTGTATTTCCAAAGGGAGGAACTCCGGTTTATCGGTTTTAAAAGAACACTAAAATGTATAAAAGACGATTCGCAAACGGCAAATGTAAACGATATGGCAAAACGATACAACCAGGCCCTTAAAAGCTGCGCGCGGGAGTAAGGAATTAGAAAAACAAAAAGAAAAAGAAAAGTTGCGTCGGGAATAGCGGCGAGCAAAGGCAATGAAAAGGAAAAAAAACGAGTTTTTATGGCCCCGACCAACGCAAGCCACCCTCACCCACTACCACCCTCAGTACCCTTAGATTTTTTCGCGCAAAAAAGCTCCAAAGCTCCCGGAGAAGAAAAATATTGGCTGTCGAATCAAAGTGAAGAGATTCTTATGAAATGCATAGTCCCACCCTATGTTGCCTGGCGCCTCCACCAACAAACCATAACCCACACACATTCATAAAAAGCTCTGGAGTATGAGGTGTGTAGGTGTGGCGTGTGAGGGTCGTAATGATAAATGAACACGTTTAATAGTTCTCGCATTACATTCGATCTTTGGAGCGGCGGGGCGCCGGAGCTTTCACGGAGGGCAAAAAATGCGCTAAGTGGCTAGGCTGACTGGGAGTCAAGCCTTCGGGGGAATCAGGGATCAACCCCAAACACATTCTAAGCTTCATCGTCTTTAACGCTTTACAATTCAAGCTCCACCGAAAATAAAAAAAAATCCAGGACATCATTAAAGGACAATTTTTTTTTCCAGGGTTTTTCCGTTGGGGAAAATTATTCAATTTGTAGTGTTAAATTTCATGATGTGTTGCAAAATGTGATATACTTGAAATGATGATACGGCAGGACGAAGTGCATTTGGTGTGTCAACCGAAGCCGCCGCCGACGTTGGGAGTTTAGTGAGGACTCGTTACGCCGTCACGTCCTTTAGACGAAGGAAGAATGGAGAGCACTCGAGGAAAACGAGTGTGTGCACTGAACGCTCGTGTCTCGTGCGATTTATTACACGAAGGGGTGGAAAACAATTCAACATAACAACATATCCACAACCCCTCTGCGATTTTATCGAATCCCTAAATAATGGTTATCAATTTTCTTCCTTCATTCTTTCAAAATACACAAACACAAACACAAAATAAAATAAAAATAAAACATCTTGAAGTTTTCAAGTTTTCAGTTTGCTGCAATCTGATAAGCCGATTTGGAAACTCGTCCTGCATGCGTCCACTGTGTCCACTGCCTAAGAAGCTGATTATTAACACTACGCGCCAGCATCTCTGGACGTGTCCCTCGTTTAACTCGAAACACTTGCGCTGATGCAAGCGGCCCACGACTGTTTCCCAATAATCCCCGAGGCGGAGGCGCCGGGCAGCGTCCACTCTACTTTCCGCACACGCCGAAATCCCTTGCAGCAGCGCAGCCTACTTACCAACTTTCCAACACACAGTAGCTGTACACCTCTACTGTTAGAAAAGGAGCGCAATTTCATTTGTGCCCTGCTGGGGCGGCGCCGGAGGTGGGGGTTTTCCATCGCCGGCGCTCAAACCTAACTCAACTCCCACGAGCGGTAATCTCACATAATCTTTCCTATTATCAGCCGCCCCCATGCGAGCTCATCTTTTATTTAATGTTTTTCGCCTTCGAGATCATTACGCCCGATATATCCAACCTTTTTCCGGCTCATAATAAACAATATAAATATTTTTTTCACTAGGCAACACTTTCTTTACCGAGTATATAAATTTATGATAATTTTCTACAAACCGGAAAACCGGAAAATTTATTAAAAATTATTTAAAAACATAAAATTAAATTATTTATTTTTTAATATGACAATATGTACACTTTGATGAGTAAATTTGTGTATTGACAAAGTGTTAATTGAAATCGAAGCTTTTCGATGATGTGTTAATGCCGGAGTGCGTTTCGATGATTCGCGCGCGTTGAGCACTTGACGTTATGGTAATTGATTTATTGAAGGATTTGACCAATTTTCGAACGTGTTAATGCGCCGCCCCCGCTTGCTTCTAATCGAATCCGACGAGCGGCAGCAAGCCAAATTGCATCGCATTGTGTTTCGTCCGCGAGGAAATTCTCGTTGACCAAACTTTAATTAATTTCATATTGTTTCAGCGGCGGGGGTGGAAAACGCGCCACCCACCCCCAAACGCCAAACAATTTACGCCACGCGAAGAATTTAAATTAATTAATTTGTTACCTCATAATAATTAACGTGCACAACTAATAATCAACTGAATATTTATATTTTTTTTTGGCGGAAAAATTTTCGGGAAAAACAAAAGTTTTTTTGTTTTGGAAAACTAATTCGCAACACAATATGGCCGCATTAACTTTCGAATTAAACTTTTTCAAATGTTTTAATTGCTTGCGTGAGCCGCCTCCGCCGCCCCCACCAACATTACCCTATTTATTTTTATTTCTTGTTTTGCACAATAAAAATAATGATTAATTAAACTCGTGTTTAAAATACAATAAATTTTCTTATAATTCACTAGTTGAATAAAGTATAGTATTATATATCTAAGCTGCTGTCACAATGTAAATTTATTTACTGCATTTGTCTGTTTCTATTTATCACGATGAGTCGACGCCGCCCCAAAGACAGGGTGGTAACTGTCGTGCGGAATTTACCGTTTTACCATCGTGGAGGCGGCACTCGACTTGACTCGATGCGCGTGTCTTACACGAAAATCGCGCCGAATTGAGATAGCAGGATCAGATATCGCAATAAATTACTCGGACAGTTAGTTATTTAGGCCCGAAGACAAATCGCGCGCGCACAAACAAAATGTTTTCACAAAGGAAGCAATCAAACAGTATTCAACTACTTACCGCCCCCACAGCTAGTTGTAAATTGACGGAATAATTCTCGTTCGTGTTCGCATCGTCTTAATCACGCACGCCGGGGGGCGGCAGACGTTCGCTCGTCAAAAGTACGCGCCGTAAAAAATAAATATACACAAAAAACCCACGCCTTCCGGTAAATTATTCTTTCGTTTGACGTTTGAGAGAAGCGAAAGGGTGAGGTTTAGTTAAAATGAGCTTTCATGGAAACTTGCGCGAGTGGAGTAAATTAGCGTTTGCATACAAATCGCATTATTTTTGGCGCGCATGCGCGTCAAAAATATCATATTACCAAGACTTACCTTGTATTTTCCTAGATTACTGACCGAACAGGTCAGGATGGCTTCGCGACCCACCGGCATGGTTAAATTATGCATTGGCGCGAGAAAGTCGGGCTCATCCCACGCGTACTTGGTGGTGGCAGAGTCTTCTGCAACAAAAATACAGAAATATACACATCAGAGATCACAAAAAGCTCCAACCCTCATCAGAAACAGAAACACCAACATTTTATCATCGTTTTTTTTTAAACTGTGGGTGTGTGTGTGCAAAGGGATGTTTTTAATTTAATATGCATTAGTTGCGAGTTTCACCTCGCGAGATGGCAGCAGACGCATGATTTATTCATAAAAGAAACTACGTTTCCGAGCTTTGCATATTAAAAGCATTAAAACTGTGTGTTAAACTTTCGACAATGACACCGACGAATGTATAATGCATTGTTCATCGCATTCTGCAACCCAATGCACACTACTAGTGTTCATTAGCGCGTCGCGCATGCGTATTACACCAGTGGGCGGAGCAAGCTGTAACATTTTCGTCTTTATTTAAACGATTCGCAAAACTTTTCGAAAATATAAAACCGGAAACTAATATATAACTTATAATAAGGTTTAAACAAAGTTCCGGAATCGAAATATATCCGTATAGAGTAAAAGCTCTCCCGGCTGCGAATAGTTGAGACATTGTGCCACCGCTTGCCGCCAACTGCCGCACACAGAAATAACTTCCGGAAAGCCGGAGCGAAATCAAATGGCTTGTATTATTGGCCATAACATTTCGTCCGGAGAATAGAGGTGTGTGAGCGCCAAGTGCCAGTTTGGAAGTGCCAACTTTTTTTCTCCACGCCGAGCTTTCACTTCTTATAGAACCGAGACGATGTCAAACCGGAAACTCTTAGGGATATGTTTCGCAGCTCGTGCTCGCGTCTATTATGCGGACGTGTGTATGCAACGGCGATCGTAAAATCGAGGGTGTGCAAACTTGTTCGCCATCCTTTCATCCCTGAAATAAGGGTTGGGGCGGTAGAAAAATACTTTACGGTTCATAAACTTCCGGTTTGGTAATATTGACACTGATTCACGTGTTAAATATTGACGGATCGCACTGTCATTATATAGTTTATGCACGAGCTGTCAAACAAACTCGTCGTAAAAGCTCAAAAGCTCCAGAGCTTTATTTATGTTGAGATTTACTTAAGAACATGCTTACATAAACTTTATATTTCAATAACTTACTAGATATCTAAAAATTTACAAAACCGGAAAACCGGAAATGTGCAAAATTCAACCGGGAAAAGGGCGTTAATCGCAATTAACGATATATCACGCGCGATTGACATGTCAATTTAGCATTTTGCGCGTTGCGCGTTGCACAAATCAAATTTATGCAATTTAATTACGACACTTTTCTATTTCTACAGCTGCCAGTTCAATTGGCAATTTTGCGCACGCGGATTCAATTGTTAATTTCAATTATATTATTAATTATGCACTGAGTGATCGAATTAGTTGTCAGGACAACATTTAACGTTTAGAATAATATTGCGCACTTACCAGCGGTAACAAGGTAGGCAAATCAATATGGTGTGTAATTCGCGTGTAAATTACGCGCATGCGCGTCAAAAATATAGACAATAGACGAAGAAATACTCGCAATAAAACGTCGTGCCGAACGCATCGGACCGCATTGTAGAGTAATTAGTAAATGTGCACCCCCCTGCCGCCCCCTGGTATACACAGGGGCTGGTAGCGTCGGGGCGCACTCGGCGTCGCTCAATAATTAAGCGCGGTTGTCTGATTGTTTGCTATTTCGAAGTGATTCTGAGCGATTTCAAACCAAAGCGGAAACACGGAAACACGGAAGTACGCAAATACGGAAATCGCATTATGTAAATTGCTAATATGTATTTTACGACCACAAAACAACTTAAACAGGGTAAATGTGTAATGAGTAATTAGAAAAAATGAGTAATTAGTATTTCATCCCTTAAAATGTGCATTTTGAAGCAAATTTGAGTTTGTAAGGGGTATATTTGTTAGTTGAGGTTGGTTAGGGGTTGTTTAGGGGTTGTTTACGTGTACGCCATTAGCATATGCACACAATTGTCGGCAAGGCGGAAAATCGACGCGTCGGTAATGAACAAGGTGTCTACGACACATTTTCCACCCCTATTTTATTTCTCAAAAGGGTAAAAATGTAAATTTCCGCTAACGCTGCACTCTAACAACTCAACAACAAATTTTTTCATCAATTTATCGCTTTCAATTAATAATGTCATTGTAAAAGTTGAAAGAAGCTTCCCGGAAGCCCGGAAGTTAAGGCGGGTCATAAATATAAACCAAAGTTCAATGGTCCGATGAGATTTTTTTATTTTCATCGGAAACGGATTGCATTACGAGGTGCGAGCGGGTAGAAAAAGCCGGCTTGCCCGGCGCCTCCACAATTTTTATCGCTTCGGATGGGATAAAGTAAATATAAATTTGTCGCGCACGCGTGAGCGTATAATCCCCCAAAGGGTATGTACGATTAAGCGCTTTTAGGACTCGTGTGCCCGCCCCCGGCATCGCAATAATAGTTTACATGCAAATTTTTATATCTACGATATTCATGCGAGCGCGCTCGGAGCTTTTTCGGTACGAGGCATATGTCTACGATTCGGAAAAGGCGTAATTGCCGCTTCCGATTTGCCTTGGAGTCAGTGCGCTGTGGGGGCGGCAATGTATCGCTGCATTTGCATAAAAAGTTGTCCCTTGTTTCCGGACCAATCTCAAGTTTTATTTTATTTTTTTGTTAATAAATACAGATTGTTGTAAAAAAGCTTTAAATTTTTGTAAAAATGAATAATTATTATATAAAGGATTAAATTTAAGTATAAGTGTCGTTATCCTTATGTCCTGTATTCTGAAAAGAGTGGTATTGCCGCCACCGCTGCCGCCACCGTTGTTAACGCTATTATGACAGTCATTGCCCCACTCACCCTCGCGTCCTGAGGTTTTGCGTCGAAAGATGAGAAGAATATCACATACAACTTGTCTACTTGCCGGCGCCGCCGCCCCCGTTGACAATATTTCGAGTGTTACACTGTTGTGTTGCGGCTTGCCGGAGGCGGGCGCGGCCCCGACTCGTTATGGCCGCTCGGACGCGGGCAGTTAAAATAACGACGCCGACGTTGGTTACTTATGTCCTCGAGGGTAACATGTACAGATAACGTATGCTCAGATGCAACTAAATATCAAAACAAAGAAGCAACCAAAATTGCAAACTTCAGTTGCAAATTTTAATCATATGTATTTAATTTTGTATTTTGGGGCTATTTAAATATAAATATTAATTATTACTAATTTAATTTATGTGAATATTTAATATGTAATAATTAAAATTGCCTTCTGGCGCAATAAACAATTAAATTAAACAATTAATAATTAATATGCTTACCAATCACTTGTGATCGATCATAAAACTCCATGCTGCGTCCGAATCCGTCCTTCTGCTCACCTAGAAGCAAGAAGAAAAGTTGGTTAAAACATAAATTAACGTCACTTCCGGTTTGTGTTATATTTAACTTGATACACTTGCGTTATAATCTTCGCAAAGTACTTTTACGCAAAAAACAACTTTCTAAGTAGTTTATTATTTTTTATTCGTACATGAAAAACTTTCATCTGTCGATGACTTTCTTCCGGGTGGAAATCAAAAATAACTATTTTGTTTTACTTTTTAACGTTTTTTTGCATAGTCACATAGTTGCAGTCGAAACTAAAGTTGCAAACTAATGTTTTAGTTGTAGTTGTAGTTGAAGTAAAAGTTTTTGTGTGCTTTTTTTTAGTTGGGGATTAATTTGTAGTAGTGTGTGGCAACTTTTCCGGTGAGTGGCTGTGCACTCCTTGAAACTTGCTTGACTTTCGCAACTTTTCGCGAGGACGCTTCATATTTTGCGACTTTGTTGATTCTTCTCTTCTCGGATTAGACGGGAAGCATGAAAGTCGAGGGGTTTTCAAATATCCGGAACCGGAAACTTTCAATTTCAGAATTTCTGAATGTCAGATTAAAATAGAGTTTTGGGTAAAAATAATATATATTTAGGCAAGAAAAACTAATTTTTGAAAAAAAATTGCAAAAATTTAAATTTTTGCAAAAACCAGAAAAATAAAATTTAAAAATAAAATTTATTGAACTTATTTATAAACTATGACATATTAACTTCTTGGCAAAATTTTACAAAAATCTTAATTTTTTGGCAAAAACAAATTTTTCGTAAGAAATTTAGCAAAATTTTAATTTTTTGCAAGAAAAACTTAAAATTTTTAAATTTCCAACAACAGTAATGTTTTATATTAATTAATTAAACATATTTACATAAGTAAAACCAATATTTAAATAAATTTTGTAATTTTTCAATTTTTTTTTGCAAAAAAAATTTTTCCTTTTCCCAGAATAATAATTATATGCTAAATTTTGTGTTAACGTCTTTTCATGCACATGCAGAAAGTTTAATGCAGTCATTACGAGCACGAGCTAAAATCCTCCGCATGCGCACGCAAATGGCGCCTGTATATTCATAAAATATTATTACAAGATAATGCCGCTTCGTTTAACACACAAACCGATAATTTAACGCCGTCGCCACGACCCTCACATGCTGCGCATTTCGCGCGCGTGATTTCCACGCCGAAAACAAAACGAAATAAAACGCGCGTATAAAACACGCGTCACTACCCCACTGTATATATACACGTACGCGTAAAACAAACGCGAAACTTCGCGAAACCAAACGCGTAAATGTAAATAGATGTTGCGATGTGATGCGCACCAAAGATATGTCAATTTCGTACGTTATACTCCGTGGAAAAAACTCACACCGCCTTTTTATTAGCACGCATAAAATCGAAATTTATGCGATACGCAGTAAAAACAAAGCGGTGAAAGAAATCGATATTTTTTGCCCGGCGCCTCCACAATATTTATCCAACGTTTAGTAAAACTTAAACTAAAACTTGAAATTTAGTTGCGTACAGATATAAAAATGCAATTTAGTTGTGGTGTCATTAAAAAGTTGCCCGTTTAATATCTCTAAGTAAACCTTTCGCAGAGTGTCACCGTGCGGTTGTGCTGGAAATATAAACCAACCTTAGTCGTGCGAGTAGTGGGGGTTTACGAGCATCGTTTTAGTGCTTTCTGCGTTGTCGGTAATCACGCTTCGGATCGTTTCGCTCTGACCAACCGCACTTTCATCTTGTTACCTAGGTAATAGACTTGGAAAACAAAAACGAAAAAAAATTTTTTTTTCAGAAAAAAAAAAAGACGCAATATTTTTTTGCTGGATATTTACATTTTTATCATTATCAACTTTATCTGCATTGCAAATTGTGACATGTTTTTTTCTTTGCGTGTTTAGCTTGAGAAATAGCAGAAAAAAGTAACATTTTCAGCGCGTATGGAAGTTGATTGATAGGTGAATGAAATAAGGCGCTCGAAGTGGTTTGTCAGCGGCAGCTGTTGCGGAATTTTTGATTCGTGAAAATAAAACGCCGAGAATAAAGTGAAACACGACTGGTTGCAGAAATACACACAACGCTAGAACGCAACCAAATATACACACACTGCTGCAATTGTGTAGTAACATCCATTGCCGATGTGATTAACAACCACAAACGCAGTGTAACGATGGCGCACGTTAATGAAGCCTTTCCGTTCGATAAAAATGGTTATATCTCACTGTGCAGCGCGTTTGTTTCGTGTTTATGGCCGGCGCGCGCGCGTTTTGCTTGTTCTGCCCTCTCTGTTTGTATTGCGGTGGAATTTTTACGATTATGGCGCCTTCGCAAACCACGCGCGCGCATGCAGCGCATAATACGTCTCATGGCAATTTCCAGTTATTGAAAATATTAAAGAAGCGCTTTTTATGTGCGTCGATACACTTATTTATTTATGACTTTTTGACGCAAAAAACGATTTCGATTTTTTTTTATCTGAGTGTGTGAAGGGGAGAATTGAGTATCGGTTTTTTATTAAATAGTTTTATTTTTTGAACAAAGAGTAGTGCCACATCAACGTTGACAATAAAAACACAAAACAATAAATTCGCGCGCCGTAATAAAATTACGCCGAGCGGAATGGACGCGCGTTCATTAACATCGCAATTTCGAGTGAATTTACATCGCGCCGCATATTTACCCAACGACTGCACAAGAGTGCGTCTGTCCACGAAATTTATTTCGCTAAAACGACACCGTGTGATTCATGATAACAACAGAGGAAAAAATTACAAACTAAAATTTAATTAATTTTTTTGTAAAACAAAACGAAAATTTGCAATAAAACGATTTTTTTGCTTAAAAATTGTAATTGGACACAACTAGCAAATGTTTTTTACTGAAAATTAATTAGGTTTTAAAGTCGACAACATGTGATTTAATATAAAAACAACAAAACATAAATTTTAGCATTTAATTAACTTTTTTTCGCAAAAAACTGAAATTTTTTGAAAAAAACTTTATTTGTAGAAAAAAATATTAATTGCACATAATTAACAAATATTTTTTTTACTAAAAATTAATTAAGTTTAACACTAGACACTATGCAATTTATTATAATAACAAAAAAATACAAATTTTGAGTTTTAATAAACTTTTTTAGCAAAAAACTGAAATTTTTTGAAAAAAAACTTTATTTTTAGAAAAAAAATATCAAAAGCACTTAATTAACAAAAATTTTTTTACTAAAAATTATGTAAGCTTAATACTAGACACTATGCCATTTATTATAACAACAGAAAAGTACAAATTTTGAGTTTTAATTAATTTTTTTAGCAAAAAAATAAAATTTTTTTGCAAAAACTTTATTTTTCGACAAAAATCTCAATTGTATTCAAATAAAAATTAATTTCCTATATTCTACAATTAATTACACAACTTTTCCACCAAAAAAATCAAAAAAACTTGTAATAATTCAAAAGTTACGATCAAAAAATAATTGTTTTTCAAGTGTCGCTCTTGTAATTTTTCCAAAATAGCATTTTTTCCATCTCATTTTATAATAAATGATGTGTTTGTTCTGCCGGTTGAAGAGCGCTGCTCTTTGAACCCTCGCAGACAATTACAAAGCTCGTCGTCCTTTCGTCCTTGTAGACTCCTTGAACAGTCTTTGCCTTCGCACTTGGCGCGCTCGTTAAATTCTTTTCTTTTCGCAACGCTGCTTCTAATCCAGCGCCATTGGATTATAAAATACAATGATGATTGATGTTCCTCGATAATTAATGATCCTTGTAATCGTCGGCAATTATCAGCCGAAAAAAACACATTTTAAATCAAACCGGTTACCAAACACATCAAAAAAATAAAATTAACGGGTTGAATGGGTGGCAGGTTAATAGGCCCACTTAGAAATTCATCAAAAGCAACATTTCGTTTCTACGCAAATGAGCGGAATATGCTACATTCTGAAAGGTTGTAGCAAGGACGAACATTTGAACATTTGAGAGCGCCTTTTGTGCACCTTTGCGTTCCGCAGCATCCCACGAAAGCTTATTACGCTATTCATCGAGCGAAAACGATTTATAAACACACAAAACAGCTTTGCAAACATCGCGCAAGGGTTGTAAATCAACAAAATAATTCCATTTCCATCTTCGAAAAACAAAACAAATGTTTTCTTCTGTGCGCGTAATTGTTTAGTCAATAAGTTTATGTTATGTCGGAAAATCACAGTCCAAAGGGTTGCAAACCGCACTTTACTCAATTTGATTTGCGGCCTCAACTGGCCCAACTTGTGGGTCAGAGTTGAGTGTTGTCCATTCACTAATTAGTGCACTTTACGTTTCAACTACTTCCGGTTACCAGCCATTTGTTATTCGGAGTGGTGTATGAATGATTGTAGCGTGTACACTTTGTACTCGCCGAAAATCACAAATCAATGAGAAGAATTAAGGGGTTGGTTTCCATAGGGGCGGGAAATATTGCCGAGCGGATTACGCCTATATGTTTGCCCAATGAATTGTGTAATTGCCGGCTGTGCTGACCGACATCCAACATCCCTTATAGATGTGAGCGTGTTGTATCTCTCAACTGTTTCCGGTTGCGGATAGGGGATGGCTTAATTAGTGTCCTGTCCTCATCCGTGCGCACAGGGGTGTTAAGGTCAACATACACGATATTGTCCGTACAAATATGACACTTGGATTATACCAACGCTCGTAAATAATATCGCTTTAGATTTATTTGCTCCGCCCATTTGTGTTATGCGCATGCGTGTCGGGGTTATGTCACACGCGTGCGCGCCACATGTCGGCATGGATGCAATCTGTAATTCTGACGTTTACGCCTCGTAAAATAAAATTATTTACTCGCTGCGCGGCTTACAGCATTGCAGCGTGATTTATTGATGACACGAATGTTAACTCTAACAATTGCACAACGTCGTTTGTTTTTCGCCGTTGTGATAATCGTGCTTTATGGCCGGCGAGACAAAATTACGTTTGTAATCGCTCTAACCCCATA